GGCCGCGAAGGGTGCGAGGGGTGCGCCGACATGTGTGCGGGGGGCGCATGTTGGCGGTGGCGCTGGGGCCTTCGGTGACGCTCCCTATGGGGCCGCGAAGCGTGCGAGGGGTGTGCCGAAATCGGCGTCGCTGATGGTGGCGATATCGGCGATGATGCTGGCGATGGTTGTGATGGCGACGATGATGACGCTGCCGCTGATAATGCTGATGATGATGTTGACGATGGGAAGGGGAGGGGTAGTTGGGGGGGAGGAAGGAAAGAATGAAGGATCGATGATCGAGGGGACCGTCTCTCCAAAACGAGGAACCACCACCACATGATGGTTTTGGAAAAGAAGGGTCATCTTTTAGCGAAGGGCCCAACCATATGCAGTTGTGGGTGCCGCAGTGGCGAATATCTTCTTCGGTGAAATTCCCAAGGTGGGGCCACGAATCGCTGCGTTGGGCGGGGGGGGGGGCGCGTGCGGGCGGTAGCGCTGGTGCCGTCGGTGGAGCTCCGTATGGGGCCACGAAGCGCTGTAGTGTGTGTGTGTGTGTGTGTGTGTGTGTGTGTGTGTGTGTGTGTGTGTGTGTGCGTGTGTGTGTGTGTGTGTGTGTGTGTGTGTGTGGTGCATGCGGGCGCGCTGGTGGTGCTCCGGGCCCGGCGGCACTGCGGCCTAGCTCCCTACGGGGCCACTAAACGTTGTGCTGATTGGGGGTGACGCGTGCGGGCAGTGCCGCTGGCCTTGGGTGCAGCTCCCTATGGGGCCCCACGGAACGCTGTGCTGGGTGGGTGTGTGGGTGCGGTGGGGTGGGGTGGGGGTGGTGTGGTGTGGTGTGGGTGTGGGTTGTGGGTTGTGTGTGTGTGTGTGTGTGTGTGTGTGTGTGTGTGTGTGTGTGTGTGTGTGTGTGTGTGTGTGTGTGTGTGTGGCGCGGGCGGGCGGCGGCGCTGGGGCCTGGAAGGGCTCTCCATGAGCCCCCGAAGACCAGTGCTGCGTGGGGGTAGGGGTGGGGGCATGCGGGCGGTGGCATCGTGGCCGTCGGTGGGGCTCCTTATGGGACCGCGAAAGAAAATGTTCACTGCGTGGAGCTCCCCATATGTGCATCTATTCGCATGGACCTGTCCGCCGTGAATGTCTGGGCGCAAGAGCTTTCGAATATAAACGGGCTTCAGTTGTGACGGTCTGGACGTGAATCTAACTGTGAATGGATTGGAGCGTGAATGAACCTCAGTAGTACGAGCGCGTCTCTGCGCATGAGCCTGGGGCCTCCTGGGGCCTCCTGAAACCTACTGGGACTTCCTGGGGTCTCCAGGGGCCTCTTGGGGCCTCCTGGGACATCCCAGGGAGGTTTCGCGCCCCAGGAGAGGCCCAATCTATAGCAACAGACGTGCATAAAACATTGCGGATTAGAGCCACAGGAAAAGGGCAACCTATAAGAACACACGTAAAACGCAAAGGACTCGTGCCCCAGGAGAGGCCCAATCTGTAGGAACATAAGTAACACATGTAGGATTGTGTACACAGGATAAGGACGATCTATAGAAACATACGTACACCAACAAGTAATCGTGCTCCAGATGAGGCCCAATCGATAGGAGCATACGTAACACACATGG